ATCGCTGGAGTGCGCCCCACGTCCCAGCCCTCCCCCTGCAGAGCCTCTTCCAGCTGAGGACGTGCCTGCAGAAGGGGACAATGCTCCTGGATCTGGATGCCCCCAGTTTCAAGGAAATAATCGGTATGTGGGGAATGCAAAGGTCACCTCCTGGGACGGGCTGGTCACCAGAAAGGGACCGGACCACCAGGAGGTCCCTATATAAAAGCACTGATGCATGATAGCTGGGTACCTGGGGTGGCTGTCTGCTGCTCCAGCAAAGTGCGCTTTTCCCTGGGCAGCCCCCCACCGGGCAGCGAACCGGGGGGGCTCAGGGCTGTCCCCATCCCTGTTGCAGACAAGGCACTTTCCGGGCAGCCCGAGGAAGCAGAGCTGCAGACCGAGCTGAGGGAGCACCTGGCAGCCCTCCTGCTCCGCCAGCCACGGCACCAGCCCACCAAATCCCCGCTGTGGCTCCTTGCCGAGCTCGGCCTCTCTCCCTGCCGAGGTAGGCACGGCGCTCGGCCACGGGTGGCGACATGGCTGCCCCACTGGGCATCCCTCTGCTGCCACCAGCCCGGGGCAATACCCATGCTGGCCGTTCGCTTGCACACATATTTTGCTGCTTGCTCCCTTTCTTTGCAGGGAAAGCCAAAAGCTGGTCTGAGCTGGGAGCCCAGCTCTCCGAAACGCCTCTTAAGGAGCAGGTAAGGCAGGACGGAGCTGGGCTGGGAGCAGCTGCTGCATCCTGAGTGCCCAGCTGCTGCATCCCTTTCCTTTCAGCTGAGAAACCGATTTAAGAAGAAGGTCCCGCCAGGGGCTGAAGCAGCCCATGTTGCCGTCGGTGAAGTTGAATTCCTGGAGAAGCCCTTCACCGCCTTCATCCGCCTCAGGCGAGGGGTGGCCCTCGGCTCGCTGGCCGAAGTTGCTCTCCCCAGCAGGTAAACGGAGCATGGATGATGGTCCCGCGCCCCGCTTCATCCCTGTCTCCCCACTCCCTCCCACACAGGACAAGGCTTTGCCTGGCAAAAGCAAAGGATAAGGCACCCAATGCCACCTGCAGTCCCAGAACCCTGGCTCACTGCTTCCCCTCCTGCTTTTCCCAGCTCCTTAGGGGCATCCCAGGATGGGCTGAGAGTGGAGCATCTGTTGGGCAGCCTGGGGGGGACATCCCCTGGATTATACCCACCTGGGCTCTGCATCCACTCTCCTCCTTAGGAGGGTCTGGGTGCTCTCCACTTACTGCCCGGGAGCACGGGGGCTCGTGGCTGGGAAGGGATGCAGGTTTGCAGGAGCCTCTTGCCCTCCTGCTGCCCGTGATGCTCTCCTGAGCGGTGGGGCAGCTCTTGCGGCACTGTTGGCGTAGGGGGAAAGGGGCAGGTTAGGACGCGTTTCCCCATGGATGAGGAACGCATCGTCTGAAGCCATAAGGGGAAATGGTCAGTGCATCCCTTGAGCTGGGGACTTCCTTAGGGAGCGTGCAGAGGAGACAGATG